GTCCTTAAAGACAAGATGACTTCAAAGATGGCAAATTATAGGAAAAATAATACATTTAGTTTTTAAAATACCACATTGACAAGGTTCTGTTGTTTAAAAAAAAAGTTTGGGGGTGCTGATACAGAAACAAAAGAAAACACTGAATAGGTAATGCTCTCCCTCTACTGACATGCCTATTTTATCTATTCTCTTCTCTCAAGAAAACACCATCTCATTTAATCCTCACAATAACTTTGTAAAATATGATCAGCCCCATTTCACATCTGAGGAACCTTAAGAAAAATTAAATTGTTTGACCAAAGTTGTAATTAGTAAGGGGTAAACTCCAACCTAACTCCTGACTGAAAAGCCAGTATTCTTTCTACCCTATCCTGGCTACCCATTTCTAATTTTTGTTTTATTCTAGATTGTGATAGAATATGTTCCATAAATGTAGCATTTAGTATGAAAAAATATTTATCTGGAACTTTGTGAATTCCAAAGTATAATTTAAATGTCTTGCATACTTATCTTACATAGTGATGGAACAGCTCACTCGTCAATAACAAACTGAACTTAATAGTGCAACCCCATGGTTATAATCATATCACAAAAATAGCTTGTTCCTAGGAATAAGGTGTTTTGAGTAATGCTTGTTCCATTAAGATCCTTTCAATGTTTTTCCCTAAGAGCCATTAATTTAAACATTTTTAATTGGAAAATACAGGCATAGCTCATTTTATTGTGCTTCACTTTATTGCACTTCACAAATACTATATTTTTTAAAAAATAATTGCATTTTTTATAATTTGTTGCAACCCTGCATTGAACAAGTTAGTGTCACTTTTCCAACAGTATTTGCTCACTTCATTTCTGTGTCACATTTTAATGATTCTTGCTAATATTTTAAACTTTCATTTTATTTGTATGGTGATCTTTACTCAGTGATTTTTTTTTTATCAAAGTGTAGCTGGCACACAATGTTACATAAATTTCAGGTGTACAACATAGTGATTCAACAAGTCTATACGTTATCTGTGCTCCCAGCAAGTGTAGCTACACCATCTGCCACCATACAAAAATATCTAATCAGTGATCTTTGATGTTACTATTTTAATTGTTTTGGGACACCAACTGCTCCCATATAAGACGGCAAACTTATTGATAACTGTCGTGTGTTCTGACTGATCTGCTGACTGGTCGTTCCCCATCTTTGACCCTCCCCTTGGGCATTCTTATTCCTTAAGACACAATATTGAAATTCGGTCAATTAATAATCCTACAATAGTCTCTAAGTGTTCAACTGAAAGGAAACATGTCTCTCACTTTAAATTAAAAGCTAGAAATGATTATGCTTAGTGAGGAAGGCATGTTGAAAGCTGACATAGACCAAAAGCTAGGCTTCTTGTGCCAAAGAGCCACGCTGTGAATGCGAAGGAAAAGTTCTTGAGGGAAATTAAAAATTCGACTGCCTTGAACACATGGATAAGAAAGTGAAGCAGCGTTTTTGCTGATATTGGGAAAGTTTTAGTGGTCTGGACAGAAGATTAAAGCAGCCATAACATTCCCTTCAGCCAGAGCCTAATCCAAAGCAAGGCCTTAACTCCCTTCAGTTCTATGAAGGCTAAGAGAGGTGATAAAGCTGCAGAAGAAAAGTCTGAAGCTAGCAGATATTGGTTCATGAAGGACAGAAGCCATCTCCATAACATAAAAATGCAAGGTGAAGCAGCAAGTGCTGATGTAGAAGCTACAGCAAGTTATCCAGGAGATCTAGCTAAGATCATTAATGGAGGCTACCCTAAACAGATGTAAGTGAAACAGACTTATATTGGAAGATGCCTTCTAGAACATTCATAGCTAGAAAGAAGTCACTGTCTGTCTTCAAAACTTCAAAGGACAGGCCAACTCTCTTGTTAGGGGCCAATGAAACTGGTGACTTGATGTTGAAGCCAATGCTCATTTACCATTCTGAAAATCCTAGGTTCCTTAAGAATATGCTACATCTATTCTGCCTGTACTCTATAAATGGAACAACAAAGCCTGGATGACAGCACATCTGTTTACAACATGGTTTACTGAATATTTTAAGCCCACTGTTGAGGCCTACTTCTCAGGAAAAAGATTCCTTTCAAATTATTACTGCTCATTGACAATACAGTCACCCAGGAACTCTGATGATGTACAGTGAGATTCATGTTGTTGTCATGCCTGCTAACACAGCATCCATTCTGTAGCCGTAGATCAAGGAGTCATCTTGACACTCGAATCTTATTCAGGAAATACATTTTGTAAGACTGTGGCTGCCACAGGTAATGATTCATCTGATGGATCTGGGCAAAGCAAGTTGAAAACCTTCTGGAAAAGATTCACCATTCCAGATGCCATTAAGAACATTTGTGATTTGTGGGAAGAGGTCAAAATATCAACATTAACAGGAGTTTGGAAGATGCTGATTCCAATCCTCAAGGATGACTTTGAGGGGTTCAAGACTTCAGCAGAGAAAGTAACCACAATGTGGTGGAAATAGCAAGAGAGCTGGGAGTGGAGCCTCAAGATGGGACTGCATTACTACAATCTTGTGTTGAAACTTGAATGGATGAGGAGCTGCTTATGGATAAGCAAAGAGAGTGTTTTCTTGGGATGGAAATCTACTCCTGAGATGCTGTGAAGATTGCTGATATGACAACAAAGGATTTAGAAGATCACATAAACGTACTTGATAAAGCAGTGGTAGGGTTTGAAAGGATTGCCTCTAATTTGGAAAGAGGTTCTACTGTGTGTAAAATGTTGTCAATCAGCATCTCATGCTACAGAGAAACCATTCATAAAAAGAAGAGTCAATCGATTTGGCAAACTTCATTGTTGTCTTATTTTAAGAAATTGTTACAGTCACCCCACCGTCAGCAATGATCACCCTGATCAGTCAGCAGCCATTAACATTGAGGCAAGACCTGCACCAGCAAAAATAATTACAACTTGCTGGAAGCTCAGATGATGGTGAGCATTCTTTTTAGCAGTATTTTTATATATTTTGGGTTTTTTTAAAGATTATTTGACACAGAGAGAGCGAGCCAGCAGGCAGAGGGAGAGGGAGAAGCAGGCTCCCTGATGAGCAGCAAGCCTGATGTGGGACTTGATCCCAGGACACTGGGATCATGACCCGAGCAGAAGGCAGATGCTTAACTGACTGAGCCACCCAGGCGCCCCTTAGTAATATTTTTAAATTAAGGTATGCACATTGCTTTTAGGTGTAATACCATTGCACACTTAATAGACTATAGTGTAAACCTAACTTTTGTATGCACTGGAAAACCAAAAAAATAATTTGACTCACCTCATTGTGGTGGTCTAGAACCAAATCCACAATAATTATAAAGTAAATGGTGTTTTTTTTTTTTGTCTAAAATTTCTTCATCAGGGAAAAATGCCTCCTCTATCCATAGAAGTTGTGGTCATTCCATGAAGAGGGATAGTAGTTTCATCCTTCTACCCAATGCCACCAGTCCTATAGGTGGCATATAACATAAACTGGCCAAACAGACTTTTACCAGAGCTATAGGAAATATTTTATTTTTGAAGTGGGTGCCAGCTGAAGGGAGCCAAGCTAAAAGGTGGACAGAGTAAGCACTATTATTTGAACCTCCAGATCAAACCACACTTTCCTGAGCTTTCCATATTCAAGCCAAAAATAATTTCCTCATTTTGTTTAAGCTGGTTTGATTTGGGTTTCTGTCACTTAACACTTAAAGAGTACTAATGCAAAATTCTTTTCTAAAATATCTTATTTCTTTGGACTAAATTGAGACTACTGAATGTAGTCTATTACCTGTATCCATCACTTTCATATTACAGTCTAGTAGCCCCAACTGTAAAATGGGAGTAACAGCATCTACTTTAGAAAAAAATTTATGAGGAGCTAAAGCACATGCATAAAAACCCCAACTGCCATGCCTGGCATTCAACAAATATCACTTCTCTTCCATTTCTCCATTACCTTTCCAAAACATCAACAGCAATAATCTAAGCCTTTATAATTCTGTTTTTCACATATCAACTCATTTAATATATGCAATCACCATGAAGTAGGTACTATCATTAGCCCCATCTTGTAGAGGGGGAAAAGGAGGTGCAGAGAGGTTTTGTAGCTTATCCAAGGATACACACATTGTGGGAAAGCTGGGGTACAAGTTATCACATTATGCAATCATAAAGTCCTGTGTTTTCTGTATTTCATTTTTGCTGTGAGGCTTACTGCACGGTTAATGCTGAATAAAGCAAGGAAAGTTCTAAGTGCAGACCTAAGGGGCACAATATATTTAGTATAGATGTTTTAAGATAATTTGGAGGGGGTTTTTTTGCTTGTTACCTTGTGTAAAGTGTAGTGTCAATATACGTACATACCTATGCTCTATTTTTCAATTATACCCTAAAAGAACCTCAATCAGCAATGAGAACAGCTAATGTTTACTGAGCACTTATAATGTGCCAGGCACCCTGCCAAGCATTAACTTAAGTATTTCATTCATCCCTCATAATCACATTAAAAAGTATTAAGAGAAGTAACAGCTGAGTAAACCCAAGGACAGTGAGAGAGTGGGTGGGAGGGCAGGGAGGGAAATGTGTAGTCTGGCCTACTGGGCTCTGCATTCACTGGGAGGGCAAGGGCAGGGTCTATCTTACTCTCCTGGCACCTACTATATGCAGGGCACCCAGTTAATGAATGAGTATATGCTCTTTACTAAAAAAGAGAGCACTTTCAAATGATATAAAAGGTGACTTTAATGTGAAAGGGGCATTTGTTGTGTAGAAAGGAAAAAGCTTTAAAGGCAGATCTTTTCTTGACAATTTACAGTTCCTTTTTTAATCCTAAAAACCCCACATTGTCACTGTAACAGATATTTCCCTTCCCCTTTTCATCAGGCAGATCTGCATGCTGTATCCAACTAACACCCAACCAGGGATACCAGAAGGTGAATATGTCTGATAGGAGATGGAGACGAGGATCAGAAAAACAGCGAGTCAGCCATGAAATAAGTTTATTTTATGATTCAATTTAATCCTCCTTACCCCCACCTTTTTTATATTATGAGCAATATATGCTATTAGGATAGCTATTAAGGGTGAAAGGATTAATTAAAACTATAATTATCTGATAAGACTAGCATACTATCTAACCTGATTTAGGGCAAATTCATCTACTTCAATTAAAAATACTGGACAGGAAAAAAAAAGAATGAAATAAAAATTAACTCTGCAGGTCCTGTTTCTACCATGAATTTCCTAAATGACCTAAGGTATCATTCAAACAAAGAGCCGTAGTGTGTTTTTAGCTTTTATTAGTTAAGAGTTCTTAGTACAAATAACAAATTTAACTTGACATTTAGAAAAAAAATGATTTACTCTCTGAGGTTTGTTCATAAAGAAAAACCTGTTCTGTTCACTTTAATCTAAATTTTAATGCCTAACACCATAATGCTTCTAAGTCTATAACTTAATTTTAGGTTTAATTTTAATAATTCTGTCTTACTATATCTGGTGAAAGAGACTAGAAACATTATGTAGGAAAAAAGCAAGAGACTAATTAAATGACCTGAATATAAAACTTTTACTAAAAGGCTTTTAAAAAAGCCTCTTAAAACAAAACAATCTAAAAATTAGAATACTTTTGGCAGAAAAATTAGCAACTATGAACAAAATTAACATTACATAATATTTTACCAAGAACTGCATTACAATATTGTGGCTTACATATATTAGAATGATTTGCGACATACTAAAAGCTTATTTATATCAGACATAAAAATCTCTTTGCTAAAACAATTTTTTAATGTAGTTTAGCACTTTTGGGAGACTCAGTTCCCAATAATGACAGTAACGCAATTTAGAAGATAATAGATAGAATATCTTTTCATTAGAGACCTATCCAGGTAAGTCTTGCCAAATAGTTATGAAATTATATTCAATAACAAGCATTAAGAACTCAAGATAAAACAGTAACTCAGGTCCCCTCATCAGTATATATGCTTGGCATCAGAAATCATACTATTAGTGAATACATACTAAATTCCGGGGGTGGGGGGGAAGCTCACTTTAGAATTAAGTGTCAATCTACATTTTTTTATGCCTTCCCTGACACACTGTTTCTCCCACTCTTCATTTTAATAGTGTTTTCTCCTCGGTTGGTGGTATATTATCACTTCTTAAAGACCAATCATACCCAACATAATCCAAGGTCATCAACTCCTTTGCAGCTGAAGTAAGCTACAAACAGCAGAAGACCAACACATTTCAACAGAAAAATATCCACCCTACTCAGCAAGGCAGAAGCCCCGTCTCTAAAACATTTTTAACCAATGGTTGCCTTAAAATTAATCCTATAAGCCCAACAGTATTCCACGATCATTATCATTGGTTTTGACAGCAAGTTCAAACCTTAAAAATATATATTAAAAATTTCCAAGTTAGATTACTCTGGAAACATAACTGAGTTGAAAAATCTTTCTATATTAGGATGAAATCTCATACCCAGTCACTGAGATACAGAGTGTAAGAGGAGGAGGAAAAGAATTACTGATTACCACTATACCCAAGCCTCCAGGAGCCATGACAGAGGAATTATCCAAGCAAACAGACAAATGTCTTCTGATCTCAACCTAATATGTTAGAGTTGTAGGTAAGCGATTTAATGCATCTCTTAAGTGGGAAATCCCTATGTTGTCACAGCTTCCACTTAAGAGTAGCTCAACTATGCTATGTGAGAAAGGGACCCCTGTCCACAGAGGACAGGGCTCCTAAGTAGCACCAGTGCTCCACCACCTGGGAGCTATCTTCCCAACCCAGAGCCTCCCACCTTCAATTTCCACTTGACAAGACTATATTTACTTCAGTGAGTACATGACCAAAAATAAGTAAATAAATAGGGATAAAAATAGGAAATAAATATGAACTCCAATGGAGTAAAACTTCCTATAGAGCTGATTAAGAGGTAAAACCTATTTATAAATAAAAAGCCAAAACCAAGCAAAATACATCTCTGTTTTTGGGTCCATTCAAAAGTCTCCTTCATTCTTGGCAATCTAGCTATGTGGTGAGATATGATCTACTTCTTTTCATTTACACTGTATTTGTCTATTAAAAATCATTCCTTAATAAGGACTTTTTAATATTAAAAATTCTAAAGGTTTATAATAAATATTGTATTAAAATATTTTAATATTTACAATTGGAAAAATGTATACTGTAGTCAGTCATCTCAGGGCTACTTCTTCAATTTCATCTTCTACAGATTCCACTGCTTTTACTGCTGGTTTACTGTTTGCATGTTTTAATCGGTGTCTATTTGGATTAAAACTTCTTCCTTCACTGAGGAAAAAGTCATCATCTTCATCATGTTCTCTATCCCTGCTGCTCTTATCCCCTGGGAGAAAATTTAGAGGGTCCAAGTCTCCTTTGCTGGCAGCCCGAGAATTTGGGTCACTGCTTTTAGAGGAAATGGTGTTGCTGCCACTGGCACCAAACAGCTGTTCCATCAGATTAGCTTTTTTCTCTCTTCTTGTAATTAAATCTACACTGTCTTTACTATGTTTCTCTATACTGTTTCTTTGGATATCCACAAGGCCACTCTTTTGGCTAAATGGATTTGACTTCCCTGATGTTTTTGCAAATGAAGGCACATAGCTGCCAAATGCAAGCTCATTTGGGGAGGCTGGGCTTCTAATATTTCCTGGATTCTGACCATCTCCTTTTGTAGTGAAAAGGCTGATTTCTTGCAGATGATGCCCATTAGATACTCTCTCTGAGGATTCAGAGAACATGTATGTTTTGGGGCTTCTCCCTGGGGAACGCAGTTTTGATTCTGAATCAGGTAGCAGTGGCAAAGGAGGGCATTTTATATTCCGAGAATCTTGGAGTTCTCTGTCGATCTCATTCAGTTTAGCAAGTAGCATTTCTCTCTTCAGCCTTTCTTCTTCCTCCTCTTCCAATTTATCAACATTTTGAATTTGGTACATTTCCATTTGGTTTCTTCCAGTTTCCACTGCGGGCTTTTCTTCTCTCTCCAGCAAAGATATCTTGTCTTTTTGCTTTTTAGCAAGTTCTTCTTTTTCCCATTCTGTATGAAATCAAATTTAAAAAATGGGATTTTACAGCAGTCATTATTTTTAAGTAGGAAATCTTAATTCTCATCTGTTACAAAACAGTATCTAATTTAGTTATCAGTACAGTGAGAATGAACATAAATTTCATTGCTACACTTGATATTCTGGAATTCAGAAAGAATATACTTAATGTGTATTGCATTTAAAATTCACATTTATAGAAAAAATTTTGTTCAGTGTAGAGGTAAGGAAGAAGGTTCTCTATTTTTTTTATACCTAATATAGTGCTATACACTGAATGGATGTACACTGAAGAGATGGATGGGGTTTATTTTAAACTTGAACCTCTGGGTGTCATACCCTGAGAAGGACACAACATCACTTATTTGGTATTCTGACTGAAGATACATTAAGTTGAATCTAATTAAGAGAACACTTCAGATAAACCTCAAATGAGGAACATTCTATTTTTTAAAAATGGGTCTTTAACATTTTTGATGACTAATCTCAAAATATTTAGAGAAGACTAAAGAGATAGAACTAAATGCAATTCATGATCATATCCTGGAGAGAAGAAAATGCTATAAAGGACAATACTATGTCAACTAATAAAACTAATATGGACAGCAGATTAGAGACATGTGTTGTAAGAAAATGTCCTTATTTTATAAAAGTACACATGCAAGTATTTTAAGGTATGGGCATGAGATATACAACTTACTCTTAGTAACTTTAGTAAGTGGCATACATTCTCACTGATGTTTGAGATTATTCCATACAAACTCCAGGAAAAAAAAAATAAAGATGAAAAGAAGGGGCCAGTCTTCTGTTACTTTATTCCTTTTCCTGGTACCTAGGAAGACCATAGTACCTTTCCATTCTATGTTTTATTAATAATGTGAAAGAATCTCCCTTTGTGCCTTAACCAATAGTAATATAAATATATCTTCTATTTCAACTGTTACATTGTTTTAAGTACACACACACAAATATACATTCACTAATTTAAGCAACAATTAGGTCATAATTTTATGTTCCATTAATTTTAAGGGAAAAAAAGGATTTCTCTGCAAGAAGCTTCTATAAAACTAATGAAATATATACAGAGGATTAGAGTCAGGGATTCCTCTTACCTATACCTTTAAGACATTTTATCCAGATGGAAATGAATTTATTCCTGAACTTCATTTTCAGTATCTGAAACTATGTGAGTTGGTTCATTAAACTTCCACACTATTGGTTAAACATGTTAAAGATTTACTTTCATACTAAAATGAAAGAAAACTTACAGGAATATATTTAGGACCTCACAATTCATTGATTTTAATGTTTGGGCTAGTCTACAGAGTCTCAAGGTCAAGCCAATAGAGTGCATTGTCTTTCAGTTATCTCTTCATCAAGCTTTAGTTAACATACACAAAAAAATTTCCCCTTTTATCTGAATTTTACTTCATCTGAATTTTCTGAGGGTAACTTGTCCTTATTCCCTAACCCCAAACAGCAACTTAACAGTTACGTTTTTCTTTCCTTAGTAACTTTATTCAAATGTTTGTGATTCCTAATAGACCATCCCCTACCACTGTATCAACCTTTTGTTATTCTGTATAACCAATTCACTGTTCAGCTGGAAAATATCAGGGGATGCTAACCCTTTCTTTCCCAAAGGATGCTGATTCATCACTTGAGTAAACAAACTCTTTCTTACCATCTTCCAGCTTCTCAACCTCCTGATTTTCAACATGGAGTCCTTGATCTTTAACAAATTTTTCTTCTCTTTTCACAATTGGGTTTAGAATCCCTGCTTCTTCATGTTTACCTCTCTCTTGCAATTCCAGGTCCTATTACATATTTTTTTAAAAATGCAAGTTCACATGTCAAAAGGGGGAAAAGCTATTTAAATATCATAGAGTCATCTCCCATTAAATATGACACCAACTAAATTAGAAATTAAAGCAAATTTTAATTTAATAAAGCAGTAAGTCACAAGCTACCACCCTTTGAAAGATACTTTAAAGGCACACAAGATTATTTACTTTAGTTAAAATTTTTTTAGAAAGTATAACCTATATCAGAACCAATATCATGGAATTAAAGCCAATACCCTACATAAAATTCTGAAAAGACATGTTTCAGAAGTATCCTTGCTTTGTACATTTCACAACAAAATCTGATTAATTCCGTTAATGAGGAAAGGTTATTAGCCAACTGTGGAGGCTACGTGAGAAGGTGCTGCTGAACTATAATACAGGCAGTAACAACCCCATTGAATCTTTCGAGTTTATACTTACTATGTCCAAAGCCTCCAGTAAATTTTATATTTAAATCAAATAAAAATGAAAACTTAAAATTACTTTTATATGGTCCCTTTCACATGTATAATTTTTCTGAATAAAAGAAAAATACCTAATATTAATACAGCAATGGATTGTCCCTAGTATCAATTTTCCTCTTCTTCCCTTTAGTTACAGAATCCCTTGAGTTTTAGCAGGGTTTAAGGCTGCTCAACTGGAAACTACATTTGCTAGTCTCCCTTGCACTTAAACAGGACCAAAGGGATTTGAGTGAATGTATGCAACTTCCGATCACATTTATAAAAATAAAAGCTGCTTGCCCTCCACTTCCTTGTTCCTCCTCACAAAGGTGGTGAGCCAGTTCCAACCATACAGAGGAAGACTACACTCTTTAAGATGGAAGAACAATAAGACAGAGGATGACTACCAAGGAACAAAGCTGTCTACTTATAATGGACTACTGACTGACCTTCAATCTATTAGAAAAGAAAGAAAACTTGTATCTTTCTTGAGCCACTGTATTCTGGGTCTCTTTCCAACAGCAAATTTGCTTGCACTTTAACAATGTTCCCTTTTGCTGAGACCCTTTAAAGTGGCAGGATCAGTCTTAAGAACTTTATAAACTGTGTGATTAGTTATTATCACAACCTGATGGACAGCCCATCCTTGTTTTATAGATTAGGAATTGGGGCTCCAGGAAGTCACACAACAATGTCAGAACCAGAATTTAATTAAAAAGGCAGTGCTAACTCCAAGGCTATACCCTTTCACTGTATCAGGTTGCTGCTCCTCATGCTGCCCCTTACAAAGACCATTTTTTTTTAGTCCTTTTAAAGTTAAGAATGACTTTGCTATTTCAAAAAGACAACATGATTTAGTTTCAAAGATAGTGAAAATATAGGAAGAAAGACACTCAGCAGATATAGCTACTCAGGAACCCAATCACACCATCCTTTCTCTTTTATACCAAAAGAAAAAAATCTCAGGGTCACTGGGAAACCTATAAGGCACAAAAACACAGGAATATATGAGATATGCTGGGTCCCTGGTATATTATTTTCTTTGGAATTTAAAACTATAAATACAAAATATAGAACCTCTTAGAGAAAAGAACATTGTGGTATTCTGTTTATAAGTCCTTTTAAATGAAGGCCCAACACAGACTCCCCTGAATGTCACTCTAATTTGAATGGTCTGAAGTCAGATTCCACTGCAATACTTTGCTCAACATTCAGCTAATCTGTAAAATTCTCAAATAGGAGGCCAAAAAATATGTAGACAAATCCTAAAAAATTATTTGAAAACTAGTAAAATTTGGTATTAAGTGTAAAAGCAAGGAGGGTTTTTAGAAATTACCTGGGTACATAAAAGGTAAGAACCTCTATCTCTGGGGCACCTGGGTGGCTTCAGTTGATTAAGCATCTGATTCTTGATTTCAGCACAGGTCATGATCTCAGGATCGTGAGATCGAGCCCTGCTTTGGGCTCTGCACTGAGCATGGAGCCTGCTTAAGATTTTCTCTTTCCCTCTCCCACTGCTTTCTTTCTCTCTCTCTCTCTAAAAAAAAGAAAAACCTCTATCTTCAACCCAGAAGGTACAACTAACCTTCCCGAAGCATCTGGAAGATGCAATGAAAACTAAGAGTCAATCCAAAGGAATTTAATAAAATACTCTCTTTAGAAGGCTACTTGCATATTTACACAGATACAGTACTAGCTTCATTGCTAACTTTTAAAATGTTTGATATTGTGTTTTTGGGAATAACTTCAGACCTAGAGTTTAGTACCTAATCATGTTGCTAAACTCACCAAAGTAAGACGTTTAGGTTCTTCCCATTTGTTTTCATAACACATAACTGTTTGTGGTGTTACAGGAAATTCTTCCAGCTCCACGTCTTCACTGGTTTGTACTCCTTTTGTACACTGGTCTGTAAAATCACTCTGGCATGCAGCTACCATGAAAATTACAAGTCTTCATTGAACAGTGCTAAGATATATGGAATTTAACTGGTATATGTTTGCCATCTACATGAGATAATGCATGTTTTGCTCAGCTCTATGACTATTACTGTTTTTTTTTTTCTAGGATTTACCAGCAATTATGTAATTTGAGGACAATTTAGACAGGTAAACCCTGTTAGTTTGTTTTTAACTTTCTGCAATTCAGAAGAGGAAAATTTATACTTTTGTTTAAAAAAAAAAAGTAAAGATATGCATAATAATACCAAAGTATTTATGAGTGAAATGAAATGACAGTTGGGATTTACTTTAAAATAGTCTTAAAAAAAAATACTCTAGAAGTAGAAAAAAAATAGATGAAATGAGATTAGTAAAATATGTAACTGTTAAAGCTAAGTGATGCATAAATAAAGGTTCATTAAAATATAATCAAGCACCAGTTTGGAATCTTCTTATTTTCATAAAAGTTTCAAAAATTATAAGAAAAAATTTAAACCTTAGGAAAAATAGAAAATTGACATGATTTCTGAAAATTAACTATAAGGAAATTTAAATTTACTTCAGTGAAGTTCTTTGCCCTTCTACTTTAGAATTATTTGATTTTATTATTAATAAGTGACAACTACAATGTTTTTCAATAATAATAGCTACTATACCATTTTTTCTTGATCTAAGTTCCTTTTCTTTCTTTGGAGAAGACTTTGGTAGCCGATTAGAATATATGTTTTTTATATCCAGTTCTCTCTCCTTTTCCTGAAAAGTAACCCAATACAATTAAGGATGTAGAGTATCAGTTTAAAATAAAACAAAAATTCTCATCTTGTCAACTGGTATTTTCCTTACCAAATTGGAATATATTATACCTACTTCAGTTTCCCTTCTTAATTACTGAACTATAGAAAGGAATATCTCTAGGACATCTAGGTTAGGGCAGTGATTCTCCCTAAACAGTGCAATATGTACTGGCAAACAAAAGAATTAGAGTAGATAAGGCAAAATTCATTTTCTTCCCATTCCTACCTAATAGAGCTAGTAAGGTCTTAAGACTGTCTTCCAAGCTTGGCAACAGAGATCAAAATAATTTCATTAGCATCTTTCAAACATGGCTTTGGAGTTACTGACAAGTTAAAAATTGGACTTTTCAAAAACACAGTGTTCTTTTATCATTTTGAGGCTATGGTTCTGTCTGAGAATTTGATTAACAAAAAATTCTATGTAAGATAATGCATGAACATTCAATTTTGCACAAAATTTCCACCCATCAACGACCTCTGGATAGAATTAAGAACACCTTTAACAAAATTAAATAATGTGAATGCTTCCTCTCAACACTGTGAAAATGAAGGGCATTATTTGAAACAACTTCTAAAATAATCCTAAGGTTATATGAGGAAGAACTTTGGGATATTTAATCACGCAACAGAGAAAAACTCTAGTTCTCATAATTCCTTCCAGGATTTCATAACTTATTTAGTTATATCAATTCTATTAGGATTCAATGTGTCACTTTTGGCATTTTTCACAGTGATTATATTAAAAAAACTTTTCTTTAAAAGTACCAAAGAGAATAGCAGAATTTTGTAAATTACATTGTCCCAACTTACAAATATGAATAAGTGTTTTAAAATGCTGAATGTTCAATATATTTTATATATAACCCATTAAATAAATAAACAATACTTACTTTTAATTTGTGATACAGTTGTTGTAGCTCCTTTTGAAGGACTTTATTTTCATCATGAGCCTCATATGCCCTTTTCCTTTCAGCAAGCAACTGTCGTTGGAAACTGTTAGTACTCAGCTCAAGGTTTTTGGATAGTTCCTATAATGTGTATATAAACATATAAAAAAATAGTACTTGAAAATAACTGAAGAGTAAAACACTGCACTTAGCATTGAAATAATGTTTTTAGTAGTACCATAAAAGACCTACAAATCAGGCTGCGCTTAGTGTTCATGAACATAAACTGGAAAACAGATCTACCAACAATTTAGTAAGGTACTTAGCCTATTATTCCTTATTTTGCTTTTCACAATGATTTGCAAATAAATCCTTAAGCATTTGCCTGAAGCATACATGAACAGTCATTTAAGTTGGTTGCAAATTCAGCCACAGCATGTGATGAGAAACACTGGCTTTTGGGAATCATAGTTCGGGCAAATATATACCAAGGCAGCTGCATAAAACTACACAGCACTATTCAAGGTGCAGAGATTACTTTGTAAAACATTTCTAGATAAAAATAATAGTCATTTCAATGGTCTTCAAACGTTTTCCATAAAGTTTGTGAAAAAATTTAGGTTAAAATATTTTCTTTTAGGTGACATCAACATCATGGTGGCATGAGTCATTCCTTTTTTCCCCACCTTTCAATTTACAACTAACCAGACCCATAAAACAAACATCTATAATGAAACAAAAGCACTTCTGCAAGCACACCTGAGAGAACCATCCTCTCTGCACCTGAAAGTGGGTGGACTAGACATCAGAGGAGGCTATGGAGCCAGGGGTGGTGGTACAGGTGGCAGAGGTGGTCGCAGGCCCATATGGCCTTTCTGGCAGAGGAGGTGGAAGGTAAAGGTGTTAAGTGGGGATCTGCCCGGCCACATGTGCGGCAGTTGGAGGGACTCACTCTCTGAGAGAGACCGCAGTGACGAAGGGGAGGAGAAGGAAAGGGAAAGAGGCAAAGAGAACTGAAGGAATGAGGGAATACCATTTCCTGGGCTGGACGCCCAGGATTCTGACAAGAGATCATCCATGAGTCTCTGGGAAACATCCCCCAACTCAAGGATCCCCTAGTGGGAAATGGGCACAGCCAAAGAATTAAGTGGTAAGCACACACCTCCCTCCACTCTGACACCACACTTCTTCTTTCCAGTCCAGCAGCTTTTTTTAATTGTATAATTTTTTTTCTCATACACATTTTATTTGAAGGCCCCTGATTTGCTCAGTACTGTTACATGTATAGAGCCTTCTGGTCCCTAGGGATGGCTTAAGGTCTAAATAGCTCAAAGAACAACTGGGAACTTGAGCACTAACTAGATATTTGGAAATATTAAAAAGTTGTTAATTTTTTAGATGCTACTCTTGGTATCGGTTAATGGCATTGTGTTTTTAGTCTTTATATTTTAGAGAGATACAAGGTGAAGTACTTAGGAATAAAACAATAGGATATTCAATATCTACTTCCAAATAATACAGAGAGGTGGAGGAGAGTATATATGAAAAAATATTTTCTATAAGGTGACATTTTTTATTGAAGTATAGTTGACACACAATGTTATATTAGTTTCCAGTGTACAACATAGTGATTCCACAACTCTATACCTTATGCTGTGCTCACCACAACTCTAACATCTCACCATACAATGCTATTACAATATCACTGACTATAGGCCCTATGTTGTGCCTTTTTTTTTTTTTTTTGGAGGTGATAGATATGTTTATTGCCTTGATTGTGGTGAGATGGGAAAATGAGTGTATACATGTGTCCAAACTCACCAAATTGAGACACAGATTATGTGCTATTTTTTTTTATTCTTATGTTAATCCCCATACATTACATCATTAGTTTTAGATGAAGTGTTCCATGATTCATTGTTTGTGCATAACACCCAGTGCTCCATGCAGAATGTGCCCTCCTCAATACCCACCACCAGGCTAACCCATCCTCCCACCCCCCTCCCCTCTAGAATCCTGTTTGTTTTTCAGAGTCCATCGTCTCTCATGGTTCGTCTACCCCTCCGATTTCCCCCGCTTCATTCTTCCCCTCCCGCTACCTTCTTCTTCTTCTTTTTTTTTTTCTTAACATATATTGCATTATTTGTTTCAGAGGTACAGATCTGAGATTCAACAGTCTTGCACAATTCACAGCACTTACCAGAGCACATACCCTCCCCAGTGTCTATCACCCAGCCACCCCATCCCTCCCACCCCACCCCCCACTCCAACAACACTCAGTTTGTTTCCTGCGATTAAGAATTCCTCATATCAGTGAGATCATATGATACATGTCTTTCTCTGTTTGACTTATTTCACTCAACATAATACCCTCCAGTTCCATCCACGTCGTTGCAAATGGCAAGATCTCATTCCTTTTGATGGCTGCATAATATTCCATTGTATATATATACCATATCTTCTTTATCCATTCATCTGTCAATGGACATCTTGGCTCTTTCCACAGTTTGGCTATTGTGGACATTGCTGCTATAAACATTGGGGTGCACGTACCCCTTCGGATCCCTACTTTTGTATCTTTGGGGTAAATACCCAGTAGTGCAATTGCTGGATCATAGGGTAGCTCTATTTTCAACTTTTTGAGGAACCTCCATACAGTTTTCCAGAGTGGCTGCACCAGCTTGCTATGTTGTGCCTTTTATTCCCGTGACTTATTCATTCCATAACTGGAAGCCTGTATCTCTACTCCGATTCACTCATTTTGTCCATCTCACCATCACTCTTCCCTCTGGCAACAATCAGTTTGATTTCTGTCTTTATGGATCTGTTTCTGCCCTCCTTAGGCCCCATCACCTATTTAACCCATCCCCCCCCAAGCCACCTCCTTCAGTAACCCTCAATTTGTTCTCTATAGTTAAGAGTCTGTTTTATGGTTTGCCCCCTCTCTCTTTTTTCCCATGTTCATTTGTAAATGGAATTGTTTTCTTAATTTCACTTTCTGCTACTTCGTTATTAGTATATAGAAACACAACTGACTTCTGCTATTAATTTTGTATCCTGCAACTTTACTGAATTCATTTATTACTTCTTATGGTTTTTGGCGGAGTCTTTAGTGTTTCCTACATATGATCATGTCATCTGCAAACAGTGACAAGTTTTTTTTCTTACCGATTTGGATGCCTTTTATTTTCTGTCTAATTGCTATGCCTAGGTCTTCTAGTACTATGTTATATAAAAGTGGCAAGAACAAGACATCCTTGTCCTGTTACTAATCTTAAAGCTCTGTTTTTGCCCCCTGAGTATGATGTTAGCTCTAAGTTTGTCATATATGGCCTTTATTATGTTGAGTTATGTTCCCTCTACACCCACTTTATTGAGAGGCTTTATCATGAATGGATGTTGAATTTTGTCAAATGCTTTTTCTGCAGCTCTTGTGCTGATTATATATTATCCATCACTTTATTAATGCTGTGTATCATGTTGACTGATTTTTGAATATTGAACTGCCCCTGATATCCTGGAATAAATCCCCCCTTGATCATGGTGAATAATTTTTAAAAATATATTGAATGCAGTTTGCTAATATTTTATTGAGGATTTTTTTGTATCTGTGTTCATAAGGGATATTACTGGCCTATAGTTTTCTTTGTTGGAGTGCTTTTGTCTGGTTTTGGTATCAAGGTAATATGACCTTGTAGAATATATCTGGAAGCTTTCCTTCCTCTTCTATTTTTTAGTTTGAGGAAAATAGGTATTAACTCTTCTTCAAATGTCTGGTAGAATTCACCTATGAATTCATCTGGTCCTGGACTTTTGTTTGTTGAGAGTTTTTTAAATTACTAGTAACAAAATTAAATCAGTAATCAGTGTATTCAAATTTTCTATTTCTTTCTGATTCAGTTTTAGAAGACTCTATGTTTCTAGGAATTTATCCATTTCTTCTACGTTGTCCAATTTTTTGGCATATAATTTTTCATAGTAGCCTCTCATAATCCTTTGTATCTCTGTGGTGTCATTTGTTACTTCTCTTTCATTTCTGAATTTATTTATTTAGGTCCCATCTCTTTCTCTTGGTGTGTCTGGCTAAAGGTTTATCAAATTTATTTTTTTTCAAAGAGCCAGTTCTTGGTTTCATTGATCTTTTCTATTGTTTTTTTAAGTCTATTTCATTTATTTCTGTTCTGATCTTTATTATTTTCTTCCCTCAACTGGCTTTGGGCTTTGTTCTTCTTTTCCTAGTTCCTTTAGGTATAAGGTTATATTATTTGAAATTTTTGTTTCTTGAGGTAGGCCTTTATTTTAAATTTCCCTCTTACACCTGCTTTTGCTATATCCCAAAGATTTTGGAACACTGCATTTTCATTTTCAGTTGCTTCTATGTATTTTTCACTTCCTCTGTGATTTCTTGGTTGACCTCTTGATTGTTTCCTAACATGTTGTTTAGCCTCCTTGTTTGTGTTTATTCATATTCTTTTATTGTAACTGATTTCTAGTTTCATATCATTGTAGTTAGAAAAGGATGCATGATAGGAATTCAATCTTCTTAAATTTATTGAGACTTGCTTTGTAGCCTAATGTGATCTGCCCTGGAAAATGTTTCATGTGTACTTGAAAAGAATGTGTATTCTGTTGCTTTGGGATGGAATGTTCTGTTAAGTCCATCTGGTCTAATGTGTCACTCAGACACCGATTTTCTGCCTAAATGATCTATCCATTGATATAAGTGGGGTGTTAAAATCCCCAACTGTTACTATGTATTTGCTGTCACTTTCTCCATTTATGTCTATTAGTATATGCTTCATGTATTTAGGAGCTCCAATGTTGGTTGCATAGTTAATTACAATTGTTATATCTTCTTCTGGTATTAACCCCTTTATTAGTAGGATTAAAAAAAGGCATTATGTCTACTTTTTTTTTTTTTTTTTTAAGATTTTATTAGAGAGAGAGCATGAGTGGGGGGCGTGGGCAGAGGGAGAGGGAGAAGCAGACTTCCCACTGAACTGGGAGCCTGATGTGGGGCTGGATCCCAGGACCCTGGGATCATAACCTGAGTCAAAGGCAGACACTTAACTGACTGAGCCACCCAGATGTCCCTACATGTCTGTTTTAAATTCTACTTTGTCTGTTTTAAGTATTGCTAC